GTGCCAATGGCTGATTTGCCAGCTCCGTTGCCTCCTGCTGCCCCGGCCAGAGGTGGCCGTTGCATCTTCACCCGCTCCTTGCAGCGCTGTTTGCCACCGTGCAAAGCGTTTTGGGCTGGGGCAGCCGAGGAGATGCTTTTGTGCCTTAGCCCATCCGCTGTCTCAGATGTTGCTCAAGCGCCAGAGCTGGTGCAGCGCAGGGGGGCAGTTGGAGGCCTCGCAGCTCACCTGTTTGCTTTCATCCCCCAGCGTGTTCCCCCAGCGAGTTCCAGTGCAGTAACAAGACGTGCATCTCCGCCATCTTCGTGTGCGACGGGGACAACGACTGCGGGGACGGCAGCGACGAGCGAAAATGCTCCCCTCTGACCTGCAACCCCAACGAGTTCCAGTGCAACAACAGCGTGTGCATCCCGGAGCTGTGGGTGTGCGACAACCAGCCGGACTGCGAGGATCAGTCGGACGAGTCCGTGGAGAAGTGCGGCTACGACGCCAAGGCCCTCAACACCTGCGCGGCCCACGAGTTCCAGTGCGGCAACGGCGAGTGCATCCACCTGAACTGGAAGTGCGACGGGGACGAGGACTGCAAGGACAAGTCGGACGAGCAGGATTGCCGTGAGTGTCGCCAGGGCTAGGGCAGGGCTGAGGGGTCTCCTCGGTGGGGAGAGCGGCCAGAAGGCCACCGCGGGCTCTGTTTTAAGGCAAGTCTTTGACGCGAGGTGTCTGTGCAGCAGCTGTGTGCCTGGCAAGGAGTTTTTGTGTCCCACCTGGGTGCCCAGCCAGCGGGGTCAGGTATATTCCAAGCTCCTTTTCCGCTTTTCCCTGACAACGTGGCAGGAGCTGCGAGAGCTGCTGGGTGGTACCGTGCTTCTGAGGAGATCTGTTTCACTAGAAGGGAAAGCAACAGAAAACAGGGAAAATATTTCAAAGCCCTCAAACCACGTGGTGGGGTCACAGCCCGGAGGTGAGAAGCCACAATGCTAAAGGGACTATATGATCAGCAGAAAAAAAATAATGTATTTTCTGCCTGTGAAGTTAGAGCGTACTGAATAAGACAGCCAAGAACGGCACCTCCTGAAGAATCCAGTTTGAAATGCACTTTGAGTTTGGCTTGTTAAAGGCACCGAGCTATTAAATAATGGATTTCTTTTCAGCTGGCTTTATGCATTTAACATGGTGTTGCTTGTGTGCACGGTATTTTTGAATGTTTCATCCATTTTTAGCCACTTAACTGTTCAAGCTGGTCACTTATCTGAGGAGAGAGAGACAAGAAAATAAGAGCAAAATGTTTTGTTAAAATATTCATAATCACAAGATTGAGATAAAATAAAATATTTACATAGCTGTATGTATTGAGCAGTCCTGACATTGGAGCACCTCTGGGAAGGAAAGGTGGCACCTAACTGCAGAAACTAGATATTTTTACAGATGTACATAAGAAAATATCCACCTTCTGGCAGCAGTGCCTTTTCATACCCACGATGACACCGAGGCCGGGCTGGCGAGCTCCGAGCAGCTGTGTGGGACAGCCCTCCAAGAAGAGGTGCAGCCAGACTCTCTGGGGCAGAGAGAGCCAGATGCAAATTTGGAGGCTTTTTAGCAAGAGGAGGAAGAAACGGCAAGTCCTGGACACCAGCTTGTGCTGCAGGAGGGCAGGAGGATGAGCTGTAGTTAGCCCTGGAGCCACTATGGCTCTGAAAGCGAGGGAAGGAAGAGCTGAGGACTGTAGGAAGAGGCATGAAAGCAGAGCGGGGGAAACCCGCTGGGTTTTGTTAGGGAGTGCAAGGAGGTTGTCGCTGCCTTCCCGCCCGAGCAGGGATGGACGAGCAGGAAGCCTCTTGCCTCAGCTCCGAGGAGATGACGCTGGAGCTGACACCGAGCCCTTGGGCGGCGCTTCCAGGGCCGATGCGGCCCCGCAGGCAGCGTGGGGGTGCTGGAGTCAGGAGACGAAGTTGGTTCCTGGCGTCTCTGTTAGTACGAAGTGACGATCGGAAGGACACCAAGCGCAAGAAGCCTCCTGTGCAGCGGAGGGCCAGGAAGTCGGTCTCGCTCATCACCGAGTTGCTGCTGGACTTGGCCGCAGTGCAGGCCGGCTCGTCGCAGCCCCCGGCAGAAAGACAGGTTTTTCCCTCTTTTGCACCAGGTAGCGTCTCTGTTCCCCCTTCCTCCTGGGGTGCCCGGCTGAGCTCGGGCCGCGGAGGAGCACAGCGCTGAGCCTCCCTCGGGGAGCAGCTTCACCGCTGCTGGGCAGAGGGTGCAGCTGGACACTGCTGCAGCACAGCACAGCGCTGACGGCCAGCGGGGGAAGGAGGAAACACGGCGAGAGAGGGAGGAAGAAGTGTCTTGGGAAAGCTGCGTCCCTGCCTCCGGAGAGTTAGTGCCTGAGGTTTTATCCAGTGCATCTCGGTACCTCACAGCGTTGCAGCTCATCAGCACAGCACTCAAGGCCTGAGCCGCTTCCAGCCCTGTGGCCCAGGAAGCCACCAAAGCCACCACAATGCCCCTCTGTGCAGGGCGCCTGCTTCTCTCCCTTGCATCCCTGCAAACCAGGAATCACCCTAGTGCCGTCGCAGAGCATAACCCTGCTGCTGCTTAAGCGGTGGGGAGGGATCTCGAAAGCACCGGCCAGGAGAGGACGTGGGAGGCTGCGTGCTCACGTAGCCAGTGGGTCACCTGGGTGGGACTCAAAACTGCTGTTGCTTTGTCATGCTGAAGGCAGCTGTTGCTTGGGTGCGCGCGCCTGCGGTGAAGGAGTGACGTCTGCGCGCCCTGGAAACACGAAGTCACTGTTCATCTACTGGACTTGAAGAGTTTAGAAATTGACCTTCATTATTTTTTATCTCACCCAGAAAGTCTCTTTTTGAGACCCGGGGTGGCGTGACATGCAGCGAATGACAGCGGCGCGACGCTGCTCCCTCCCCTTAGCGACAGCAGTGGCACAAATACCGCTGGGTTCGGCTTGATTAAAACTGAAGATAACAGCAGTACATCTTCTCTTGCAAATGGGGCTCAAATGGTTTTTGCATTGTATAAAATGGAGAGATGGGAGCTAACCCGTTAAAAAATGTCATGAGGCCATCCTCGGTCGTTTGTTATAATCGCTTTGGGGTGATGAATGAGGAGAGTGGGAATGAAGGGTGACAGTCGGTAAACAGGTCTTGGCTGCAAGACAGCAAATAAATAGGAGGGATTGAGTCATTTCGGGGAAGGTGTGTGAGAACATTGAGTGGCTGTTTTTTTCCCCCAGTATGTATATTCAAATATATGTATAAGATGAACATTGGGTTAGATTTATTAGTCTCCAAAACTAGAATGGTTATTTTCAAAAACATCCTTTAAAACGTCAGGTTAGGGCATCCAGGAGGGAAATTAAACAGCAGTTGCGACTAGAGAACACATCCCTTGAGACCTGGCCTCGCACTTCTGTGCCTCCCTCTCCCCATCTGTAAAATGGGATTGATGCATCTTGCAAACACTAGGCTTTTCTTGATGTGAAGTTAATACTTGAAAAGCACTGTAAGATTTGCATACAAAAATTGCAATAAAACTGCCAAGTGAGTTGTGTCAAATGATGGTAGCACTTGGTGTGGGACGAATCTCATCTCCATTGAACACATGGAGAGAGAAGAGATGCAGGCGCAGACTTTGGATCTGTATTATATAGGCTAAATTTGAGCGATTCACCTTTATGCCCAGTATTTGCAAACAGAAAACGTGTCTGCTTTAGCATGCCTGTTTAGCAGGGTTTTAGTAAATTGTTTCATATCTGCTTTGCGGAACTGTGGAGAGAGCTATGAGACTGCTGGGATTTCACTGATACAACCCTGCAATGTTGTCTTTGCAGTTGCTACCAAGTTCTCCTTCCTTTTTGTTACTTTTTGACTTGGAAATCTTTCTGTTCCTATCGTTTAGCTAAAACCGCTTCCTAGAAGAACTTTGAGGCTACAGCTGATCGCAGTTAGTGGGATTTATAACAGCTGCCTTCCAAATCTGTAGCTCTTGTCATGCAGATTTACATAATAAGCTACAGGCCTGTTCCTGCTCCAGGAAGGACAGTGCTCCTCCTGCCTTTAGTTACGTGTGACACTGTTGGTAGGGTTAATCCCTATGGCCAGAAATGGAGGAGGCTTTTTTTTTTTTTTTTGCTGTCTCCAAGTGTAAAAGTTGCTACAGAAAGAGTGAAATAAACCATTTTTCATGCCAGTGGGTGGTCACATGATGGCTAAGAAATAACTTGCAGCAAGGAGATTTTAGATTGTAGGCTGGACAGTAGGAAAGGCTTTGCAATGGCCAAGGTTTAGCTTGGCAGAGGTCAGCATTGCCTGGGGGAAGTTGGGCTCTCTGTCGTCGGCGATTCCTCCGAGCAGGTCAGACATGCCGGCAGCAGTTCAAGCAGAAGTGCCTCTGCCTCCCTGCGTGACCGCTCAGAGCCACTTCCTGATTCCCCTAGACCGCCGCGTCGTTTCCTCCTCTCCTTCATTTTTCCCAGTTGCCAAATGGTTAGTTGGAGCTGCTGTCCCAGATGTCCCAGTGAGGTTTCCCATCTATGTGCCTGGGATCATTAGCTGAAAGGTGGTGGCACAGCTGAGGCCGTAACTGGGCTTGTTGCTTGGTGCTTTTTCTTGCTTTGCAGCTTTTTATGAATAGTGTGCGTATGGCTTTCCTCTCCAAGGAGCAGCACTATTTCCAAACGTTTCTCTTGTGAATACTGTATTTTTCTGAAGGCAACATGTCCCCCTTCCCACCAGCCCTGCAGTTGCTGCTCTTGCTATCTCTTGCGCCCTTCCCTGGCTGTAGATGCGCTAGAGCTTGGTCTGGTGAAGCAGTCCCAAATCTGGACCCTGCATCCTGTGGGATGCTATCACGGATAACGCTGAGCCTTTGTACGTACTAATATTTTAGAGTATTGATGCTAGCTCACTTCATGTCGGTGGCTCTAAAAGTAGCAGTTTCTGTATTAGAACTAGTCTGTCAATTTTTCAAGGAAACTCTGCTGTGTAGCTCTTGCCTCCCATGTAGTAACATCCGTGCTCACCTCCTCTAGCTATTCAGAGGCAGTGATTTTCTGTCATGTGGTACCAGGCTGCGGTCAGTGAGATGGAAAGGCTAGAACTGAGATCTCTCCGGGGTGTGCTGCTTGAATGGGGTTTGAGAACATCGGGAAGACAGCCCCCTCAGAAGTAAGCCGTGTGACATGTCCCAGGAAAGAGGAGCCTGTTTTGCTAGTGAACTACGGGCTGCAGCCCTTTGCTGGGTAGATGCCTGTACCTGTTGGGCTAGTGGCACATGGCTAAAAGGTGTCCCGCTGAGAAAGACTGCAGTGCCACGTAGCTAACGCTTGCAATGATCTCGTTCCAAAGCTCTGGTGACCTGCCGACCGGATGAGTTCCAGTGCGGGGACGGGACCTGCATCCACGGTGCGAAGCAGTGTGACAAGGTGCACGACTGTCCCGACAACAGCGACGAGGCAGGCTGCGTCCAAGGTATGTAAGGGCAGCACTGCACCCTCGGGCTCTGCAGTGTAAGCCCACGAGGGCTGCCCGGCCACAGGAAAGGCAACAGGCCTGTTCTGCCCCTCTTGGCTGAGGCAAGCTGCTTCCCGTAGAGAGTTTTAAGCTGTCCTGGCAGCGGGGCTGCTTGGGAGAGATGATTGCGTTGACCAGGCAGACTGCACGTCTTATAAAGTTCCTTGCATGATACTCAGGCTTCATGTTCATTTGCTTAATCCCATCTCATTTCTGCTAATGACACCCTCTTGAAGCTTAATGTCAGCCTTTTGGTTGTCATGAGCCTCGTCTAACTTAGTTGCTTTCCTCTCTTGCCCGACATGACAGAGTCAGCATGTGAAAGTCCCAGCAAGTTTCAGTGTAAGAGTGGAGAGTGCATTGACGGAGGCAAAGTGTGCGATTTCCATAGAGACTGCAGGGACTGGTCTGACGAGCCTCTGAAAGAATGTGGTACAGTACTTGCCTTCTACGTGTTGCTCCTGTTGTAACTGCTTCCCCTCTCCTCCATCTGGCGCTCACAGCTTTGAGTGTAACCACATGTAGCTGCTAATGCCATTTCTCACTCTGCTCCTCCTCCCTTGCCTTTACTCTCGCCACATAGCCCACCACCCTTTACGTGAAAATAGTAGCCGAGTCTGATCATCTGCAAGCTTGAACTGTGCCCTTCTCAGTTTAGCTTTTACTCTTGGAGGGGTGCTGGAGCTGAGCACAGCATGAGGAACCAGGAATTCCCTCTCTTTGCAGGCACTGGTGTCCTCTCCAGCATGGACCAGTTTGTTTAGCCTCACTGCCTAAATTATCCCTGAATTGATGATGAGGATAACGTCATAAAGATGACTTGGCACTAGGGACATGCTCTGAAGGTGAAAACCCAGCGAGTGGCAGTGACCACTGAGAGAGGACTTCAGCCGTTTCTAGCTTTACGTGTGGATGCCACTTCCTCAGGAATGACAGCAGGTTGCTCTCTGCAGCGTCCTGCTGGACTCTGGGCTAGCATGAGCCACCAAGCCATGGGCGCCAACCTGGTCTGCATCCGGCCTGGCAGAGCCAGGACCCCCGAGAGCGCCGGGCTGGAGAGCTGGGCCACCCTGACAGGCAGTACAGCCCGTCTCTCGCCCCCCACCCTGGGCACCGAGGGCAGCCCAGGCTCAGACAGGCAACTGGCTTCTCCCTTCCCGTGCCTTCATGAAGTGCCAGAAGCCTGGAGCTCAGTGCCTCTACATACATATAATACCTCACGTTCAGGAAGAACTGTCAGACTCTCCTCTGTATCAACGTGGGGGGGTGTGCACGCCAGGGAGGATGCGCTTGCCTTGTGCTTTCAGTACGTCCTTGCTTTCTTCCGCACTAATCCGCCTCTCCCTGTCTTTCTGAGTGGGTGTTGCAGCTTGTCTGTCTGTGGAGGTCCCCCATCGGAGCTGGCAGCCCGCTTGGTCTCAGGAGACGGAGCAGGGGCACAGCACACTTGGACTTGAGGCCGCGGCTGACTCGCTGCGATCCCAGGCTGGCAGTGAGGTGTCACTGGAATTAGGAAACTGAAAGGAAAACAGCCCCGAAAAGAAACAAGTTTCTTTAAGGCTGCAGAAATGAGGCACATCACCGTGAACGTAAAGCACAGCCACGCAGCAGCCAGGAGATGTCGGACACGCCCCTCATCTCAGTGTATCCATGTGGCTGCATGCTAGACCCTAAAGAGCCCTCTGAGATTCCCCAGAAAGGCCCTGCAGAAGGCAGGCCATCGCTTGTCTTACCTGAAGTGTGCAGTGAGCTGAAGCCTGGGAGATGGGCTGCAGCTGCCCGGCAGGCTGCTCTCCGCTGGCCTCCTGCTCAGTGCGTGCTGAGGACTGCAGCAAATGAACCAGCACTTGATTCACTGTCTCTGAATCCATCCCACAAAGCACCTCTGAAACCAGGGGAATCATCTGAATGAGGGTTTGCTTGTTAGTTGAAACGGCCTTTGGTAGCATTTTGCAGTGCGTGGGTGTGCATGTTTATGACCCAATTTGCTAGAGGCCTGTGCAAGTGTAGTAATAGGTGATACCCATTAATAAACATCACTGAGGAGCGGCAACACACAATGTGACTCTGTAGACAGCTTCTTGGAGTCTAGACAACTTGCTCTATTAATAATGTATTGCTATCTCTGTGTGGGTATCTTTGATACGAAGGTGAAAGCATCCTGCAGCTGAGATGGGGTTCCTTCTGGCACAATAGTTTCCTGGTCTTACTGACTTTAATTGGCTTGTGGTTGTTTTCTTTTTCTTCCAAGAATACAATTTAATGGCTCTGCTGAACTGCTCACCTGCAGTGTGCAAGGAGGCACAAAGTAAAAAAGATAAATGAAAAATTTGGCTTTAAATTGCATTAAGGATTAAAGCAAATCAGTTCAACTTGTTCCAGTGAGCCCCTATCCCTGAAATCCCACTGCTTCTATCCAGTAGTCTTGCACAGGGGGAGGACCTTCTCCTCATCCTGGGTAGGCCAATTACAACAAGAAGAAATGTTATTTCTGGCAGAAACAACACCCTCTCATGCCAGCCTTCCTCAGCCTCTCATTCAGTCATAGTTACAAGGATCTGGTTAATCTGTTCTTCATTTCAGTGGGATCAGAGAGGCAGGCGGTCTTGGATTAGGCAGGGACCTGGGACAGGGTGGGGGCTGAAACTCCATAAATTGCACACTTGGGCCAATGCAGGTTGCCAGCAGAGACTGTCATGTGGGAGGTGTTTATGGCAGGACTGTATATCTCAGTGTTAATGGAGTATCTCTGATGGACTGTACTTTGGTGGTTTCTGGAATTGTCACATGTCTCGTTCCTTGGAGCTAGCTGGGGAAGCAGTGCAGTGTTTCACATTAGGGGCCCCTGGGAAACGGGACTCCCCAAGCATGAATTATTAAAGCTCAAGGAGGCTGTTCAGAAAGGTCAACATGAACGAGTGTGTGGGGAAAGAGGAGCCTCCCGGAGAGCGCCCTTCGGTCCCTTGGAAGTCCCTCATATCTAGCAGAACATACTCGAAGCAGCAGCCCTCGGATGGGCTGAGATGTGGAGATTTACATATGCTGTATCCCCAGGGCTCCCTGCTCACTTAGACACTAGCTTTTAATCCAGATGATCCTACAGTATTGGTTTGAGGAAAAAAGAAGCAAGAAAGAGATATGGTGGTGGCTTCCTACATGCAAAGTCACTCGTATGCTCTATGTGGCCAGCTCCTGGCCAAAAGCTGATAGCCACCAGGAAATTTCTGAGGACTTTGACCTCTCTTAGATTTATTCAATCTTATGATTAAATCATTTTTAACAGATAATCTGTATACCTCTTCCAGGTGTGAATGAATGCTCTATGAACAATGGTGGTTGCTCACACATATGTAAAGACTTGAAGATTGGTTATGAATGTGAATGCCCTCCTGGATACAAGCTTCTGGATAAAAAAACGTGTGGAGGTAATTTACATGCAAACGGCAGTTCCCTGTGTTTTACCCTACAGAGATGTGATTATAGTCACTCCAGCATTGCTCCATCACAGATGGTTTGATTTCATGTTATTGATGGGTTTCAAACACTCCTTTCAGACATAGATGAATGTGAGAATCCAGACGCTTGTAGCCAGATCTGCATTAATTACAAGGGGGACTACAAATGCGAGTGCTACGAGGGATACGAGATGGACACCCTGTCCAAGAACTGCAAAGCTGTAGGTAAGACACTCCACAGGCCCTTAAACACGGCTTGCTCAACATTACAACTCTGATGAGAAAACACACTTGCAGGCCTAGGGCTGGGGAACGGAGACGAAAGGAAACTAGCAAGCGGAGACGTTCATTCCAAGCAGCGCAGAACTGCTGCAGTGATAGCAGATGCGTCTCTAGGCAAGAACTACTGATCATGCAGATCAGAATATTTTAACAGTGTGCAGAGCAAGATTACAGTCACTAGTTGGCTGTTTGAAGCTGAAACTAGAAAAGAAGGTCTCTTGACAGGTGTTATTAAAAACAGTGCAGCAAAAACACTTAGCGGTAGTAGTATTAAAAAGAAGAAAACAACCCAATTAAGGCATGGTGGGTTAGCCACCTCTCCACCCTCCCAGCCACCTACATAAATGACAACATGAACATCAGAAGTTTGCTTAGCTTATTGCAAAAATGTACATTCATGTCAGAGGGATAGAAATTTGAACTGTGCAAGATTGAGCATTAGCCATGATGAAGGTTTGTTTGATGGAAACTGTGGGTCTCTTGGGGAAGGGTGAATTACCTGCAGTGTAGAATTGCCCCTCTCACGTTATCCTGCACGTCTGGATGGCCTCTCTTTTCCCAGGTTCTGTATGGTACGTACAGTGTCCTGCTGTCCTCTTAAAGTCCATTAGTCTCTCAGTCTGCAGTGAGTTGGGACTGACCCACATCTTGAGACACTCAGCTCATTGATCAGAAAACTCTGTTGTGCTTGAGACTCCGTGCTGAGAGCCTTGCAGAGCCGTGTATTTGAGGGCTAGAACCTTGTTCCAGCTTTTCCTTTCCAAAATTATGTTCCTCAATGCCCCTGTGTCCTTCACAGTGAAAGAGTGCTCTTCCCTATGATCTTTTACTCGCCACAAACTAGTCTAATCCAATAAGGTCATTTCGAGTCTCCCATCTTGTCCCTACTTCCAATGGGGAGGCGCATAACCAGCCAACAAGAGCTTTAGCTGTTTGACTCAGAGCTTATTTTAGTGATGCTTAAGAACATAGAGAATCACTGCATGCCAGGGCAAGGATGTGCACCTCTTGGTCTGAGCCCAGAGACATGGGTGCGTGTCTCCTAGAGTGGGAAACCGGCCTCCGTGAGGCCCCTTGTGAATAACTGAGGGGGCTGAGGTGTTGGCTGTGGTCTTCTGAACAAAATAACCATTGGGTTATTGTGCCTCCTGCTCTCCTGTCTTTTGGCAAATTCAAGTCCATTTTATGCATCTTGAGAGACTCCGGCCTCAGCTGGCCTGAGATCACAACTGCAGTAGCAGTATCACCGGCACCTGGGCTGGAGGCTCCGGCCCCACAGGGAAGAGACTGAACAGGGTGCACCCAGGGTGCAGGTGGGCAGTGTGAGTTTTGCATGCACACTCGAAAATGCCTCTGGCAACCCGTCCTGGCTTTGCTGGATATCAGCGTGGCACTATCTTGCTTCCAGGCAGCCCAGAGGGCTGCGTCTTCCCTGTCTGGCCACAAGTCACCAAAACTGTTTCCTTTATTTTTTTATCTAAAACATATGATTGAAGATGAGGATATGTCCCAGAGTTTTGCTTGTGGCTTACTAGCACAACGGGCAGACTGAGAGCTGATGTGTGTCCATGGAGCAACAAAGCTGCTGCAGCCCCCCGCGTCCCTGTGTAACAGCTCTGACTCTGGAAGCCGTTGACACTTGCTTCTGGTGTGGCGCAAAGCTTCCTCACAAAGCAGAATTGTCAATGACTGACTGTTGCTCTCTTTGTTTTTGCTTGAGGAATGGAAGCTCTATCAAGACCTTAGATCAGCTGCTAAAATGACAAATGCACTTATTTTCTGTGATAGGCAAGAGTCCGTACCTGATCTTCACCAATCGCCATGAGGTCCGTAAGATAGACCTGGTGAAAAGGGACTACTCTCGCATCATTCCCATGCTGAAAAACGTAGTGGCACTGGACGTGGAGGTGGCAACAAACAGAATATATTGGTGTGATTTGTTCTACCGAAAAATCTACAGGTAAGGGCTGAGGGAGGACGTGTGTTTTGGTATCTTTCCAAAGATCTGCAGCGAACTTTGCAGGATGCAATGAACATAGGGAACCTGAGGGCTTCTCTTCCCTTACTTGACTGCCTGTTGTGGCACAGACTTGTGGAGTTTTTCAGAAATTGATACAGAAATCAGGGGCTTGTGCAATTACTGATTTGATAATACTGGAAGGCCTTTCATCAGTACTAGATCCTGCTGCATTTGTGCAACTACTTGTAGGCTCTTTTTTACTCTGTCATAATATTGCTAAGTGATACTATGGGAGACTGCAGCAGCGCTGCGCTGTGAGGTTGCTGTACAAGGAACCACACAGGACTTAGCATCTGAAAGCGCAAAGGAGGCCAACAGTGGGAGAGAGGAAGTGGCAACACAGACACTAGTCGACTGCTGCAGTCTCTGGTAGACCTGGGTTTAAATTCACAGCACTCGACCACTTTCCATGTTCTGAATTTCTCCCTCCTCCTTAAGCTTTTTTTATGGCATCCATCACAGTATTGTCTATCAGAGCTTGTGAGTCTGCCTAGTCAAACAGTGCTTTTAATTTATGTGCTGAAAACCCCCCATGTATGTTCTGATTTGCATAGCTATGGCACCCTATTGCAGCTTCCGTGGCGATTTGTTGTAGATTTTAGCTAATGATCAGGGAAACGTTGATTGGTTTCAGTGCATAGGAGCCAAGTCAGGCTTTCTGCAGGCTGTAGCAGCCCCCATGCCATTGGCAGGGAAATTTGCCCAATCTGTGCTGAGTATGAAGCACTCAAGTAGCTAGCCAGGTACACTGAGCAGCCCTGGGGAGCACTAAAAATGGGCAGATGGTTCAACAGAAAGGTGGCTGTTTTCACTGTGCCTGATACTGTAGGGACAGCTAGGGTGGGTAGGGGCTGTGTGTTCATATGCAGAGAATTATTGAAGACACTCTTATCCTTCTGCAGCTCTCTGCGAATGCCCTGGCGCTGGGGCACCCAGAACACTGTTCATACCCTGAGTGTGACTATACCAAGCCTTTTTCTTTTTCCAAACAGCAGGATTTTCATCTCTCTCCCCCCTGCTTTTGTTAGCTTTTGTTTCTGCAGAGCAAGCTGTGTCGTCATCGTTTCTTAACAACTAATATTCCTGTTTAAGATATCACTAATATGAAACATTTTGAAGCAAAAGGCCATCATGTCCCTCCAGCAGAGAACAGGACTCCACCTGTGGGGAACAGCAGTCCGTAGTTATGAGAGGCTATTGTAAGGTGCAAACTATGGTACAGGAAATAATTGCTCGCAAGAGATCCCATCTTTCTTAATATTTACCTCACTTCCCTTTCCGGTCCCTCTCCCATTGAGGAGATGTCCCCATCAGAGGTGCGAGAAGATATTTTACAATATCTAGTTACTGGGAGAAGTGACGTGTCACCTCTGTATTTCAGCGCTCTTGTCCTGAAAGCCCCATGAGCCCCTCTCTGCTTCCCCACCACTGTAACAAGTCACAGCCAGGGTGCCATGCAGCAGTGCACCGCCGAACTGGAGAGAATCAGCTGAACTGGAATTGTGTACTCAAAACACGTGGCTTGGAAACATTGTTGGACACCCTGCAGAAGCCTCTAATGATACCATTTGTTTGGTGTTGGGTCAGAGAAATGTAGCACCTTCTGGCTCACCAGAGCCACTCCTTTTAACACCTTCATCTTCTGAAGATGCGGTATTTTACTGTTAATCTGCGTAGCCATTCCAGGCTGAGGTGCAAACCATGCCACAATGGCAAAGCTTTTTGCTTGGAGACATTTGTTTCTAAGTCTCTCAACTGATGCTTGAGAGCTCAGCTCCAGTGAAACTTAGCTTTTCATTCCCTGACAGGGAGTAGGCTAGCCAGGGAACGGGAGAGGCAAGTCGTCTTGGAGTTTCAATCATTCAGGGAGAAAAAGATCTTTCTGTTATTTTGTAACTTTTAAAAGATGTACTACATTATTCTAAGAGCCAGACTAAGGTCTTAGCAACATGGATGCAGACTCGGAATAACTCCATTTCAGTTCACTGAATGTAATTGATATTGATGCAGGTGCAATAGAGCAGAATCAGCCTGTTGGTTGTAGGAGCAGTACGGAGTTATTTATGGAACGTACATGTGGAGTTTGCTGCCTTTCATTAGCATTTTGAAAGATTTTTGAGGCTGCCACTGATCTTAGTGTATACTTCTGTTGTATCTAACAAGAGAGCACATGCCAAATCATTACAGCTCCATGAGTTTCTTTGCTAAATCAAAATTAATTACACAGGTCCTAATTCTGCAACACATTTAAACACATTTATTTGCATGTTGAGTTCAACTCTGTTCAGCAGAGCAAAGGAGATTATACTTCTAATGTCCGTAGATGCCCTAAATTGAGCCTATTGAAGTTAGGTGCCCTAAGTTAAAAGTTTTGCTGAATTACGCAGTTACAGCAGGAAGGAGACAGAAAAATAAAATGACAGTTCCCTGTCCTGCAAATCCCTGCCATCCAAATAGAGGGAAATAAGAACAAATTGTAGGAGAAAGCAGTGGAAGAATGCAGCACACAGCCTTAAAGGCTTCTGGGTTAATCGTGCTGCCACACGTGCGCTTTCTTTCTGTGGGGTTGGAATGGTTCTGCCTAGCGTTCAGCTCTCTCTGAGGTCTGTCTCTGTGTGCCTCTGCACAGCCCTCTCTGTGCCTTGTGTCAGTGCGGTGACGAGTCTTGTTTTGCAGCGCCTACATAGACAAAGCGAGCGACACAGCTGAGCAGGTGATTTTGATAGACAGCCAGCTGAACTCTCCCGAGGGACTCGCGATAGACTGGGTTCATAAGAATATCTACTGGACAGATTCAGGAAACAAGACTATCTCGGTTGCCACTGCAGATGGAAGCAGGAGAAGGACACTTTTCAACAGTGACCTTAGTGAGCCAAGAGCCATTGCTGTCGATCCCACGCGGAGGTAGGTGTGAGAACCCCAAAAAGTCCCTTGTCCAACAGAGACATTCCAGTCCTCTTCTGCCTCTCTTACAGACTCAAAGATGGTCCTCATCTCATCAAGGCTTACAGATGCCCTTATCTTAATTATATGATTAGATCCAATAAAGAGGGACTGCTGAGATACTTTGCAAGTATATCTTTGCAAGGCCTCTGCAGTGAAAAAAATCCTGAAAATAATGTAGGTCACATCTCAGATGGGCCTGAGCTGGTCCAGGCACACAGGTTATGTTGGGGGCTCAAGTAGTCTGACAGGAGCATGTGCTACTTGGATGGATAAGTGAAGTCCAAAGATCTAGCAGAGATACTGGGAGATGGTTTGGATAGGGATACTAAGCTGAGATTTTGCACCCTGGTGCAGGGTTTGTGGCAGAGCAACCTGTGGGCAGAATTTGCATCAGGAGTATGGTGGCTTCACTAGTCACATATCAGAACAAACTGAAGTGGCTGAGGGGGCTTTACAGTATCGAGCAGAGAGCACTGCACCTCCTCCTCAGATTAGCAACACAGATTTCCTACCCTTGAGTCTGATTTCCTGGTTTCTTTTGTGGGGCTCTTTCAGGTTCATGTATTGGTCTGACTGGGGAGACAAAGCTAAGATTGAGAAAGCAGGCCTGAATGGCGTGGGGCGGCAAGTACTGGTGACGGACAACATTGAATGGCCTAATGGCATCACACTTGGTAAGTGCCAGGGTTAGAGCTACAGCATCCATTTGTGGCTGATGTCAGTTTAGTTTTACAGTTGCACAGAAAAACTGTAAATGGTGCAAAGGCAACTGCACTCAAAAACCCTGGAAATACTCTGTCACTCACTGCTCAATGACATGAGTTTCAGTAGGAAGCATGGGGCTAGGCAGTAAGCGTGGCCACAGTCAGGATCTCATATTGCAAGCACTTTGAGTTGCTTTTAGGTGGGCCTTGAGGCAGAGTGATGGTTTTGGGAAGGATACAGAGCTGAAATAACTCTTTGGAAGTCTGGGAGGTATCACAAGGTCCTAGGTACTAGCGTCTCTGGACCTGTCTAGGAGGTAGTGTCAGGAAACTATTTTGGACTAATGCATGGTACATCAAGCAGAGAGACACATCGTATGGAGCCCTTTCCCCGTGGGCCCGCCCAATCCCTCTGGATGGGGTAGTGGAGATGGAAGCCATCTCGGCCCGTATCCTGCTGGCACACAGAGGGCTGCAGTCGTTGTTGACTGCATCACTGAGCAGAAGGAATGGAAAGGAGGTTTCCTTGCGCCCATAGGACAGTAGGGGACTGCCTGGTCTGGAGCTACAGCCATGTGTGTGCTTGACACCATTCAGATGTGAGGTTCTCTGCTTAGCTTTGTATTCCAAAATTCTGCCCGTAACAAGGATGTAGAAGAAAATGCTGCTACCATAGCGCAGTGTCATATGACTGCTGTTGCAAACTAATTATGTTATCCTTCAGTAATTAAGAAATTAATTAATGGCTTGTTTAATTATAGAATTTGTGGTGTTTTGGCACTCATCCACTTGCATTCAGTTCAATGAATCTCATCCAAAATGAGTGAATCTGCCCCAGAAAGAGAAACTCAGTTCATAATATTCTAAAGAACCTTGAATCCTGCCTTCCTGCTTTTACCTGTACCCTCCCCAAAATCTGGCTAGTTTGTTGTAGGAGCGTCCACACCACCTGCGTTCCCCTGACCGGCAGCACAAGGAAGGTTTCTGGAACCCAGGAGTCTTCATCACTGAAAATGTGTAAATTTCACAGCTCCTTCAGCAAGGTGTTTCATTTAAGTCACAGTTGTTCTCTAGCAAGAGGCCAAGGACTAAATAGCCCCCAGAGTGACGAAGCCTCTCGCTCAGTGAGGGGCATTGATAAAGTGATCTGGGAAGCCCACACTGCTGCTGGACTGCTCCCCCTGGTAACAAAAGAACCTCATTGTACAGAGCTGTCATTCAGGCGTTCCCCACACACACAACAGAATGTTCCTCCTTTTTAATCTTATTTATAGGGTCTTATCCCGGCATATCTGGGCACTGAATCAAAATCAGAACTACTGTTTTAAAAAAAAAAAAAAAAAAGAAAGAAAGAAAAAAAAAAGGCCCAATAATAAAGAGATTAGTCATGCTGCCAGCAGGAAAAACATGCTGGGCAAGAGAAAAGAGTAGCCATAGCTGTGTGTAATTTTGCTTCATTGTGTTTCACTTCTCAGATTTGCTGAATCAGCGTCTCTACTGGGTAGACTCCAAATTGCATTCACTGTCCTGCATTGATTTCAATGGCAGCAACAGAAAAGTTCTGATCTCTTCTGTTGATGATCTGAGCCATCCTTTCGGCTTAGCAGTGTTTGAGGTAAGAGTCAAGAACGGATGCAGAACAGACTAGAGACTGCAAGAGGTCTCAAAGCTCTTCTTGATTGAAAGCTCTGCCTTTTGCATAGCACAGAAAGCTCAGCGAGGGTGTTCGCTGCTATAGAAACCGATTAACCTGGTGTGGGTTCAGCACGGAAAACAGTTTTCCAGAGCCCTCATCAGGAGCAGTGCCGCATCTCATGCTCTTAATGCAGTACCAGTGAATCGGTGAGGGCAGGTGGTGCCCACAGTAACACGTCCCACATAACTGAAAAACTAACAGGCTTCCCTTGATTTGCAGTGAGCCAACTGTCCATGCAAAGGCCAAAACTGTTGGCAAGGGAAAGGAGAACCCACTTACTGTGATGAGCAGGTGGGACAACTGTTCACTGACTGACTCTGCAAAATCCCACGTCTTTTGAGAAGTCAGACTTTGAGGGGAGCTGCATGGGCCCAGAGCAGCCTCTTGGCCTGTAGTCGAGCCTTTTGCTGCTCTCAGCAGCTTTATATTTCACACCATGTTGACATATCTGTCGCACTTTCTGGTGCCAAGAAAATCCTTAGGGGAGGCCTGTTAAATCTTCCTTCATTGGCCTTGCAGGCTGATTGTTTCCATTGTCCCTGTGGCAACTGCAGCATCTGCAGAAGTATCCTCAGAAACGTTTTTGCCAGTCTCTTAGGAGTCTGCAGGCTTCAGTTGGGAGTTTCTGTACCAGTAAGGCACTCGCAGGGCTCCCTCTGCAGTCACTGTGCACCAGTGCATTGCTCAAGTTGGGGACTTGGTACTGAAAAGGTGTTATCTGTTCACCTAGTTTAAACGGAATCAGATAATTCTCGTTCAGGCTGAACAGCTCCAGTTATGACATGTACACCCTGCTACACATCAGAGAAACTTCTCTTTCAAAAAATTACAGCTCTGGCCCTACAAACACATAAGCCTATTTTCACAAAGGTGTTAGGCTTCTAACTCCTGCTTGAGTACATTCCATAGAAAACTAAGTTACTCCTGTAGATTCAGTATTCTCTGTATGGTGTAACATTCAGAATCACACTATAGCCTGACTAAGAGGAACGCAGTAATTAATTAAATAGTACAGTTCAGATCCTCAGATGTCACCAATGAAAAACCAGAACCTGCTGATAGCTGCAGAAATCGCCACATAAATAGGCATCCGCATTTCTGTATTAGGTTTATACAAAGCTAGAGGGGCAGAGCTCGGGGCTAATGGCTTCCTTGCAATTTGTATCTCGTACTTAAGATCTAAAGCGTATGTTCAAAACTGTGCATTCCCCCTCCTATCTCTGGAGTTCTCGAGGGGTGTGGGAGACCTCATTCAAATCTCCGCTTTACCTGGGTGGAAGCAGAAAAAGACATCCAGCCCTTCCTCATCCTGGCAGAGGATTGCCTACCATCACAAGCCTGGAGCAGTGAAGGCTGATCTCTCCTGCAGCTAAGCCCCTTTCTGTGAATATCTAAATGATTACGGGAACAAAAGCTTGAGCTTTGGCACCTCTTTCTAGGTAAACCGAGGCAGACAAAGCTATCTGGTTTCACTGTCAGAGTGTGTGCCAAAGGCTCCTTTCCTTTCTCTTTATTTCACTTAACTAGGTTGGCTTTTGACTCGGCAAAACCTCTTCCTTAAAATCCTGACTCCTCCCACACAATGTATATGATATCTAAGCATCTGATTTGCTGCACAGATTTGCACAAGACACTGCTGCTCTTTAGTTTTATCCTGTGTCAGTAGAGTCTGGAAGGATCTCTCCTGTTATTTATCTTCTTTGTCAGAACGGCCAGCTAGAATAACAGACAGTCCCTTTGCATAAGCGCTTGATAATGTGCCCTTGTGCTCCAGCACTGTGGTTTTCCTTACTGAAAGCAGTTGGTTTCCCAGCTGGCAGCAGCATAAATCCTGACTGAGCAACTAAAAAAACTTTTATAACTGCACTTCCTCTACACCTGCTTGGCCAGTTTTTTTGTATCTCCAATCATAGGATGCCCTCCAGAAGATATTAATACAAAAGAGAAATAGATACCAATCTTCCAGATGTGCTCTCAGCACTGGCCTCTTCATAGTTACCGGTTTAATCCAGGTCCTATCTTTGGAAAGGAGAAAACAATCAGCAAAGATAGCAAAAGTTTCTAGCAGAACCCTTTGGTTCTGTTCATGATCCATACTGTCTGTTTAAAAAAACTGGCCAGAAATTGAATGGATGAAACTCTTCTATATTTAAGCAAATTTCTGCTCCCTCTTCTTAATCCCATAACTGCTCAAAATACTAGGCACTTCTATAATCACTGTAGGATTGCTGTACCTTTAAACATTAGAAATGACAGTGTTCAAAAAAATCTTCCAGAGAGAAGCAGAATAAACCAATAGGTGTCCCTAGGTAGGAACAGCAATGCATTGACTTTCTGAATTCTGGAGTTTATTTTCTAACTTGAACAGATTTGAGCACAGTCAGATCAGAAATCGCATGCATTTCCTTGCAGGACAGGGTGTTTTGGACTGACCTGGAGAATGAAGCAATCTTCAGTGCAAACAGGCTGAATGGCTTGGACATCTCCGTTTTAGCAGAAAATCTCAATAATCCTCATGACATTGTGGTATTTCATGAATTAAAGCAGCCTAAAGGTAAGACGTGTCCTTGAGGTTTCATGTCCCTAAATCACTAGTAACTAGTACTAGAACTAGTAAATGATATGCCTCCTGATGGTTCTTGATGAGGAGAAAGCACAGGTAATAATGTGAAATCAATGCCTAATGTTTGAAGTTCCTGCATAATTAATTCAGCAGCAGCATTTATTGAAAAGTATCCAATTTGTTAATAGCTGTTTAATTAGCATCTTTGATAAAAGGGAGTTACTCTCATCTCTCTAATGCTTGCTGTTCATTATATATTTTGGCTGTACTGCACTGCAGTCTGGAAGTATAATTACAACAAGGTAAGCATATGTGTAATGGCATTCACCTCCTAGCTTCAGCAACAATAGCAGTGAAGATGAAGTGGCAGAGACTTCAGCGTAGCCTAGCAACCTGGGGAAGTTACCTGGTTCCCTCTGGGATCCTACAGCCAGCCCTGAAGCCCCAGCCATCACATTTTCATGGCATTTGTTATCTGAACTTTTTTTAGAACAGACTGTATACATCAGGGAACACATACCGTAGTTATACCTCCTGATGCAGCAGAGAGACTCTTGAGAGACTGCCTGCAGAAAACGCCTAAAACCAATAGATATCTTGGGTCAGATATTGGCTCCCTGTGTGAAACTTGGGATAAGTTCAGTGAAAAAAAAAATGGCTTGTCTCTAGCTGCTGTTAATTGTGAGGGAACATACAGCTGGATGAAGGATGCTCTCCTGATTCAGCAGCATCAGCCAACAGTCTCTGAATGTTCTAAATTATTACTGATGGTCATCAACAAGTCATTCAAATACCATCTTTACTGTGTTGTATTTGGACCATTAGCTTGTAAATTACGAGTACATTTGATCAAAAAGGCAAATGGAGTCCCTCAAGGCCATTTAAACTTTCATCTGCTAATCTCTCTTCACAGTTTTTAAAGTAGGTCTGTTAGGTTTCACTGTACTCCAAACTGTAAAGATGATTAAGCAGACAGATTAATTGAGGGAGTGGAAGAAAGGCTTCTTAAAGGAGCTGATGTTTCTTTGCCAAAAATAACAAATAGGTAATTAGAAAAATAACTTGTCTTTTCTTCCATCCTTGAACAGCTCCAGATTCCTGTGAGCTCAGCCCACAACCAAACGGAGGCTGTGAGTATTTGTGTCTGCCTGCACCTCAAATCTCTCTTCATTCTCCCAAGTATACATGTGCCTGTCCAGACAACATGTGGCTGGGTCCTGACATGAAAAAATGCTACAAAGGTAAATATAACCACATCAGTGTTGCACCATTCAAACAAAATCATATTTACAGCATCAGTGAAAATATTTCCTGATGGTGGAACACAAATGTTAGCTTTTGTAAACCACATACTTCCTGGCTTCTGAACACAGCATTGTGGTTTTCTTAATTGAAAACTTAAGTGTTCTGGAAAGCCTAGCCAGAAGAAGATACAGGATGAAGAGGAAAAAAGAGATAAGGCCCAGCACTAAAAATGTGAGTGCTCAATAAATCATTAAATTTGCAACATTAGCGCTGTATAGATACTGGATCTTGAGAGGCCACAATCACTGCTGGTAATACCTTGAATGGACTAGTGTTCACAATGTAATTTTCCCTAACATGCAAATAAGTCTTAGGTGCAAATTCAGTACCTGCTCAAAAAATAATAAGGTGCTGAACTTTCTTAACTACCTACCTTCCATCTAGAGTCCTTTATAACTATTAATAAATAAAGCCTGAGTTCAGTAAACAATTTCTGTAGATGTAGGTAGGGAACTATAGGTAGCCTGCCTACCTGGCAAAGACGATTGGAATTGGGTTTCTGTTTCTAACCACTAAACATCACCATCCTCTCCAGAGTTATATTACCACTTGTGCTTTGCTTGTGTACTTCCTTTGACCAGATTTCACGGTTGTTCTTGCTTTTCAGATCTTCCGGCTACTTCAGCTACGCTACTGGTTTCTACAACCACAGCATCCCGTACTGGCACTACTCCTACCACAGCTATTGCGACTGTAATTGGCAGGGCCAGCAACACCACTGAAGTCACCCTCAAAACTGTATCAGAAGCTACTATCACTATCCCAAGTTTTCGTTTACCTCCAACCACATCAATCATAATAGAGTCTGAGATAACCACTGGAAACAGCAATTTATCACAGCACTGTAAGAGAATCAGGTTCCTCTTTTCTTTGTCTAGATTTACATTATAACAAAAATCTGTGCACTGACGAGAGGTCTGACCTAACAACTGAGCTATAAACAGGTTAGAGGTATGCATATTCTGCCATGTAGAGAGAAAAATCAGATGCTCTTTGTGCAAACATCTCTGTTACAATGGCTGATGTGATTCGAATTGCTGTAGATGTGGAGGAACTCCTGTCAGGCTCTTATCCCACGCATGAAAAGCCGACGTATAGATGAGGCCCTGAGAATTCATACTAACCTTCCCATATGCCTCATACCGCCAGTTCAGTCTGGCTTCAGTGCCGGTTGTAGCACTGCATACCCTAATACAGAAGATTGTACAGCTGCTTCACCTATTTTAATCATTTGTTTAACTAAATATCCTTGTGATCCAGTGCCAGTCCTGGGTGAAAGATGCCTCCTATTCAGCTTTAGCCCTGCTGGACATTTGGTGTTCCTGCAGCCCAAGTGAAGCTGCATCTGCTTTGCTTGGTTGTGCTCTGCGTGTTAACGTTGTGTGATCCATGGCATACGTTAAATGAAGTTTTGTGCTACAAATCTATCACAAAAGATATCTCAACAGAGAGCACTAATAGGCTCTTCTAATGTTCATCCTAAATAATGAGTAAGTAATGAAATAGCAACCTACCATCTCAGTGCTAATAGGTAATCCCTCTGCTGTCAAGGTAAAGCAGAAAAACTACTTTTCCAAAAACAGTTCTAGTCCAGAGAGAAAAGTTTCTTCTTCAAGACTGTCAGTCAAGATCTCAAACAGATCTAGATTGCTCTAAATATAAAAATAATACAGTAAAATATTACTTTTTTCTAAACATTCCACTGAGCAGAGTAGGCACTTTCCATTGCATCTGGAAGGCAAAAATAAACCATCTATAAGCTCATTTTTGAGCAGGGTGCCTATCTGTAGTAACAGGGATATAGTGCACTCTGTAGTGCATGTGGGAAAGCATATTTTGGTTTCTAAACTTTACTGTCATTAAGTTTTCTCTGTGCAAATTTCCTTTCAAATGCAATAATTAACTTATGGAAGCTAGATGCTAATAGTTGTCCCTGTCTGAAATAATCTGGCCTATTATTAGATAAATAACTATGTAGCAGACCTACCTGCCACAGGGAATTATTTAAAAGGATAAATTACTTTTTAAGTTCCATGAACTGGTGTCTTGTAAGACAAACTACAGTTAGTTCTCCTTCTCTGAATTCCTGGTATTTCAGCATAGACAAATAGCAGCTGTGCTGATTTCTTATCATAAGAGCACAGAACAAGTATTTTGAAGTACATAGCTTTAAACATAAATAGTTGTTATTATTATTATTGGTTTTCTCTGGTAAGTACAATATCCAGCTGAGATTTTTGAGGGTTGTTCTTGCAGGCTGAGGCAGCTTGCAGCAACCAGTGATATATGTGTTGACTAACTCCTTGGCTGTAAATAAAAAATAAAAATTAAACAAAAAGCTGTGCAGACAGCTTTGAACTATGTTCTTTTCCTGCCAGCTCTGTAAATCATTGGTTGTGTCAGTACTAGAAGGTGTTCTACTGTGGACTTTTAAGAGCGCTATCTATACCACATATTTAAAAATACCAAGTTTTTTTTAACTGACCTCCTTTTTTTCATGTTTGAAAATTGCAGGCACAAATATAGTCATTTATTCATTTATGGCTAGAGCTTCCTTATTGGATAACACTGAACTGAGCACTTAACTGACCAAAATCTCCCAGTGTCTAGTTTGTAATCCTGCTAGTGTAATAGCACTTTATGGCCAATTTGTAACTGAAGCTTCCACACAGTGACTCTATGGCTGTTTTTTTGCTTCCTAGGCAGAGACAGCTCAGACTTGTGTGTACATGCTTTGCTTTTTATCCTTCTTCCTGATTATTTTATTACACAACTTCCTGTAAACTTTCTGATTATGAAAACTCCCTGATGGACAGAACAACGTAGTTACTAACATTAAACGTTCTTTAGTCATGATTATAAACACAGCAAATGACCTCTATGATCAGAATTACTTCTATAATTACAGATGCAAATAACAGTCAAGGCTTTGATTCAACTGTGACTGCAGCTGTTATTGGAATTGTCATTCCTGTTGGTAAGTGGACTTGATTTAAACTTTGAAGGAGAATTACACTGAAATGTAACTATAAATATACTCTTCTGGTTTTCAGGGTCGGGGGTGGGGAAGAGTACAGAAATGGCTGAAATGGGGCAAAGTAGTCTGGCTTTGAGAAAATTGTACAAGCACAGACATCTACATGGGAACATACCCATGCCTTCCTGCCACCCCTCCCATAGCTGGCTAATAGCTCTTTCTCTGTCCCACAGACATCTACATGGGAACATACCCGTGCCTTCCTGCCACCCCTCCCATAGCTGGCTAATAGCTCTTTCTCTGTCCCCTTTCCTCAGTGGTCATTGGCTTGCTGTGCATGGGGGGATACCTCATCTGGAGAAACTGGAAACGGAAGAACACTAAAAGCATGAACTTTGATAATCCAGTGTATAGGAAGACAACAGAAGAGGAAGATGAAGATGAAATCCATATTGGGCGGACTGCCCAAATTGGACACGTCTATCCCGCAGTAAGTACCAGAGGAAACACCTGAAGGAGAAGAATAATTTTGTTTAGATAGATAGATATTTCCAGCTGATTACATCATTGGTTATTTGCAATATAATTACGAAAAAACAGAGCTTCTTTAACAATCTTTGAGGGGGCAGAAGCCTAAACTTGTACGCAGCTCACATTGTTGCCTTAGAATATAGTAAGATATTACGTGTAAATGAAGAATAATTGTCCTAATCAATACACCTAGTAAGCTAGTAAGTGTAAAGCTAGCTCAAGAGCTCAATATGTGACAGCTGGTTTCTTATCCTCTACTGGCTTCCACGTTACTGTGCTTAGATTGCTACCAAGTTCCTAGACTATCTATCTTAAGGATAACCTGGGTTTCCTTTTAAGACATCATTTCCCTTATAATATAACAATGCAAGTAAGAGCCAGATCGCCTCCAGGGAGGAGTGAATGAGATTCTGTAAGGATTTAAGGAAAGTTGCCTTGACGAGATGAAGCGTTTTAAAAAGTAAACACTCGTTTTGATAGCAAGTCCTGTGTGTGCAGCAGAGCCTGCCACAAGAAAGAGAACCTGTTCTACGCCGTGGCTTGTCTCTAAGGAAGCCTCCCTCCAAGGAAGAGCCCTGGTGAGATGAAGCACTGGCAGTAGTAACTGCTATGTATGTTTAAAGAGAACACATAGATGCATGAGTGAAAGAAGGCAATAGAGTTGCTATAGAAAAGCAGGCACTTTAGGTAATGCCCTATATTATATGAAAATCCTGCTAAAGATCATCGTGGAGAAGGTGTCATCCCCTATAAGAAGCTTTACCTGTGTAACGTACAAGTGAAATAAGCTTTCCAACACCTCTTTAGTAACACTTGAGTTAGTAACACTGCATTTGGGCGAAAAAAAATCAGTGCATAAAATAATTTCTGTCACCATTACACCAGGAACAGCAATGAGATTTTTTTAACAGAAAATAAATTTAGCAACAGAATCATTATTTGGTTCTAATGCATCAAAATTCACAAGTCATAAATTTTATCCTCAAGTGTGTTTTTCTTCCTCCACAGCGTGTAGCACTAAGCCTAGAAGATGACGGATTGCCATGAGGATGAAGTTGCTGCTCCAAACAGAATGCACTGAACAAATTTGCTTTGGATCACAGAACCTGCTTTTTCTTTTTAATCATTATTTATGTTGCTGAAGGGTAACCACAAAGTTATAATGAACTGCAAACATCCAAAGGATGTGAGAGTTTTGTATGTATAATCTTTTATACACATTTTAACTTGTTGCACTACCCATTTGTGATAGTGAATAAGCAACTGCTGAGCTACTAACTCAATGTACATAACCAGCCAGGCTGAAGGTTCAGTAGCTATTGCTTTATTTTAAGACTATATTTATAGATTCTTTGTAAATATGTTGAATATGCTTTGTGGCTATCCATCAACATAAGTAAAAGAAATTTATGTACAGGCAGTTTAGAAATATTTATTAACAAAACCTGGATTATAAGATCTGTTCTGTAAATATAGTAGAGGGGTGAGAGTATTTATTTTTTGTATGTTTGGCTTGCTGTGCATAGATTATCTGTGTATATATCTATCTAGGCTAGATAGATATATAGGCATATAAATATATACATATATAAAAATATATACATATATTTTAAAACTACTAGCCTAAGTTTATGGAAATTAGGGATAATTGACTTTCTACAGGATGTTTGAAAAGTTTGCTTTGAAATCTAAGAAAGAGCTGTACCGTGAGATAGCTGGTGAACGAAGCACTTCCAGAACAAACAGAACTCTGTTTTTTCAAAACTGTCTCCTAGGGGTTGCTTTTACGTTCTCCGGTCTTTCACGTTCCTCTGCAATGCTTTTAATTGAAGAGCTGTTGCTTACAGCATTTCAGTGAGGAGAAACTCCTACAGCGCCCATTTTTTTGTTTTGTTGCTTTTTACAGGTTGGCACAAATTTGGTTTAGGGTATTTTGTTTGTTGTTTTTAAACGTAAACCTAAATGCTTTTCCCCAGTGGGACTCTCGCACCTCTCTTACAGTAGCTTAGAATAAGTAGAAACAAAGATTTAGTCATATACTTTCACACACCCAAAGTGAGCGTTCTCATATGGCTGAGCGAGGGTGGGGGGGGCAGAACACAGTAACAAAAGTTGATTCCTTTTCTACTGGCCCTTTTCCTCCTATTCTTACTGAAGAGTCCAAATTTATGAGAGGCTACGGGGTGTTTCAATTCACCATGCATGGAATTCATTGAAGCTCAGCAAGCATCTTCCAAATGAATGCAAATGGAGAAACTTGCCCCACAGTAGATCTGACATACAACAGAGCGCGAGGCAAGGAGGTTAAAGGACCAGTTCGTAGCTTTATCAATATCTTTGAATTCCAGGAATCAGCTCTTTGAAAACAATCCACAGGAAGAACGAAGGGGGAACACATTCTGATACATGCATGATAAATACCTTTCCTCTTTGGTTCCCAAACTTTGTTTCTCGCTCCTGCCACTTCTTGGTAACACAATGCTGTTAAACCATTCTCTCCAAGATAACAAAAGGGTCCAAACTATGCATTATTTCTCCAGATATAATTAGAGTGAACAAAACAGAATGAAGTTCAAAATAGTTTACATAATCTCGCCTGCTTCTGCAGCAACGGGGAGTCAGGGAACGCTTACATGTACTCATTTATTGGCAGAACTTGTTACGCTCTCCTTCTGTTAAGGAATTTAATGTTTGTGCTATTTTTGCAATTCAGAGCTACTGATTTAGGAAGGAGAAATACAGAATGCCATCTCCCTTGCTGTACAAGTTTTGCTTTTCTACACAACTACCACCTGATTCCTTTCAGTCCCCCCAGAGAGCATTCAAGGGCCGTGCACTGGGATAGACAACACTAACTAAGCTTTGTGTTCAGCAAGCTCCCTGTTCTTCACTATTAAAACCATTGCAGCTCATCAGCAGGTGCAATTCCTCCTCCTTGAAGGCCAGCTTCATGCACTCCTCCTTTTTTTTCAGTCACAAAAGTAAGGCCGTCTCCAAGGTAGTGTTTTTTCCACCTAGTCCATCCTACAGAAGCTGATTTCTAGCACTGCTTTCTATCTTTCTCTCTGTTTCCTAGCTAGCTTCTGTGAGCTCAGAGTGACTATGTGGTTTGGCAAGCTTCCTCTGCACCTTGAGGAAAACTCACTGTTCTTTCTCATTTCATTTTATGAGATAAAATTCCCAGGCCCCTCTGCTATTGTACTGACGATCCCAATTCTGTGGCACTGGGCATCTGCACATCAAAGATCCCAATCCAAAATCGCTGTTAAAGGAAACATACTTTGATTTGAATGGTCCCTGAATCTAATCTTAAGTCTGTGGGAAGTAAATACACTTACCACTGTGCATGAAGGACCAGCACCTCCTTCTTGTGGGGCCCTAGAACTGTACAAAAAGCTAGGAAAAGCTGCCTAACAGTCTTACATCAGTCCAAGCTTTCATAGTCAAGTAAGTACAAGCAATACAGCCTGGAGATGGGTTTTCTCTTTTTTTTTAAAAGGAAAAATTCACACTGTAATGTGAGATGGAAGTTGATTCTTAACTAAGAAAAGGAACAAAGTGGCTAAAGAGCTATATAGCGTGCATTATGGCAATACTAAATAACCTCAAAATATTCATTCCATGGTCTAAACAGGCAATATATAAATAATCAAGCATCCTTCTATTCAAATTTTAGATTTTTTTTTAAGGCAGTGAAAAAAAATTATGAGCTAACAATTATTGTTTTAAGGTATGAAGCTCTGTTTCTACAAACCCATGCACTGTGTGCATGAAGAAAAAACTGAGAAAAGGCTGTATGTGATAACATTGTAACTAACAGAAGAATGTAAATATATTTGAAAGTTCTACAGTTTTGATACTTTTTTAAATACACACACAGGCGTGCGCGCGCGCACACACACACACACACACCCACCCACACACACACCCCAAGACACACCAACACCCTTGGCCCCCTCCACTTAGCTTGGGCACTGCCGTGCGTCACCGTCCATCCTCAAGAGCCAGCCTCGATGCCATTTCAAACCATTGTAAATGAATTTACTGTTCAGTGTTGATTTCAAACTTTACAGATTTATAACTACTGAAAAGTCAAACACCAAAATTGTTTTTTAAGAAATTAATTATTTTAAATAATGGTTCAGCTTGTTAGGATGATATTTAACATTGTAATCATTTCTGATCTTTGTCTTGTCATACTGAAGTTCTGTTAGAGTATGTTCTTGCTTGGTGCCTTTTGTGTTTCAGTTTTTATGTTATGGATTAAAAGGACCAGGGAGGGATGGGGGAGGGATCTGCGCTATGTAACATTTGCTGTACTTACATAAATGAGGCGTACTGAAAACCAAATGAATACATTTGTAAAACAGTGCACTGTTTCTATAGAAAGATTAAATTTTTTTTTATCTGGGCCTACTGAATTAATTACTTTATAGTACTTAAATGCTGTCCTAGAGCTAGTACTGTGTGATATTTTGGGTTTCCTTAGCTTTTAATTGTCCAAAGCCAAAGCAGGACCTGGGAGTACTACTGTGCTACTCTCTTTACAGTTTCACTCTGTATTCAGCATCTTCAACTTCACAATGGCAACGCTGAAATACTTCCTATTCTACATGCAAATGAACAGATCAATTTTTTCTGAATTCTTTTCCTCTGCCACTTGGATTTTGATCATCTTCAAACCACACGGACGATAGTGCCTGGCTCATTATATTTAACTATGCTAAATAATTACAGCCACGATGTGACGAGAAGGAATAAGCAAGTAAGTAAAAACTCCAGCAGTACAAATACATTGGTCCTTATCCACTGTGAGAACATTTTTTATCTCAAAATTACCTGGCACATACTACAAAATGGTGCCATTTTTAACCCTAACTATGACATATTAGAGTATTTGAGCACTAATTGCAAGCTACTAAATTTCTTTTAAACAGCTTTTGATAAACCACATTTACTGATGCTGAAAAACATATATTTCAACCAAATATGCACCCTTCAGTCGCTCACAAAAAGGAGAGGTGCACTGCTATTCTTGGAATCACAACAGGCGGTCTTAACTTTTCTTACATTACCAACAACCCAGCACTTCTATGGAAATTAAGCCAAAAAGTGATCTAATGTACTAGAACTGCAATGGTAGCTTAAGATGGACACATGAGCAACGTACTCTTAAGCAAGTCACGTATTAACAGTTCAGTTAGCTAACTCCCTCTTCCCTGTCCCTTGTAAAAAGGAAATCATAGATGAGAAACAAGGATATTATCAACAGAGGAGAGATAACTAGAGGCATTTCATGAAATGGGCAGGAGGTGTGGATCTTACATGAACTTCTCCCCATTGTTTACTGCATTTCCCAGAGGGGTGAGAAGCTTGAGCATGCAGATAAATGTTTACAAGACTTACCTGTTAGGTATTGCAGTATGTCCCCTTTGAGCTGTCTTTGCAGGACGTCTACTGCATATCTTCAATTTGGTCATTAGCCAGTGCAATACATTGGTCTTAAAACACCAACAGCCACTGATTATGTACCTCTTGAAAACCAAGAACACAAAGACATGCTTCAAATGGGCATTCTTTTTTTCCTGTCCCAGGAATTTCACAGAACATACTCAAAGAAGCATGCTGAATTACAGCACTGAAGACAACAGACTATACGTTCTTCAAATGGTTTGAGTTGTTATAATGCCTTTTGAAATGGAGTATTTATTAAAAGTAATTCTCAGTTAGGTTCCCCCCCCACCAAAGCAACACTGACAAAAGCAGTTCAGGCCTTTCAGACAAAAATTGTTATTACAAAACTGGTAAGGACTGAAACTGAAAATAGGTCTCCCTTTCAGTTAAATAGCATAGCAAAGTAATATTGTCGCAAATATCACCAGGGCTGGGGGGG